CGACGACGACGACGACGGCGACGACGACGACGACGGCGACGACGACGCAACGCGACCCATATGTACATGTGTGCATACGTGTGTACGCTCCCGTGCGCCTATATACCATGTACGCGCTCGCGCGCGACATATACATCCCCTCCCGTCGCCCGTCCGCGTCCCTCGTCTATGTGCCCGCCCTTCGCGGCCGGTACACACGCTTCGCGTCTCGTACGGCTTTACACGGTCGTTCGTTCGGCGACGAGAAGATAGAAAGAGAGAGGCCCCCTCGATGGCACGGTAGCCGCGCGCTCCGCTATTCGGGTTTTCCTGCGTCAGGGGAAGTGCGAGAAGGGTAAAGGGAAGGGAGAGGGAACCCACTTCTGCCTCTGTCTCTCTTCTCGACGTGGAGAAGGGGTGGCGGAGGGGGAGGAGGGCAGGGTAGGAGAGGGGTGGAGAGGGAGGGGGCGACAGACTCTCTCGCCGAGAGAAACACCGGAGACTTTACACAACGCGATCGTCCAGGGGAGGAGAATGGGGGAGGGGAGAGGGAGAGTCCGAATGCGGCCGATGGGTTCGTCGGTAATGCCCGCCTTCGCGACGCGTCGAGGGGAAACCGGAGTGGGCCGTACCAAGCGTTGATTGGACGCGCGTAAGGAGTGGGGCTCGGGACATCGGTGGCGCCTTACGGCCTCGACCAATCGGCCGTTCTCACCGGGAGTTTTTATCCCGTTATTTACGCCGAGGACGGGAGAAGACGGTTCCCCATATACCCCCGCCCTACCCGCGGACCGTGGCATCTCGCTCTCACCAGGGCGGTGGGCACTCTCTGTCCTGTTCGCGCGCGCTCTCTCTGTGCGCCCGTCCGCGCAGGAGAGGACACTCTCGTTTCGGGATCCGTTGAGGCAACACGCGTTTCTTCGCCACAGGACGGGATAGGAAAAAAAAAAGTGCCGGGGATCGAGTGCTCGGTACGCGTGTTCCGCACTTGACGCTCTCGTGTTTTTTCGGAAATTAGTGAAACGGCGTGCTCGCTTTCGCTCGTTTTTGAACGTCAGTGTTCGAACCGCCCGCAGGGATACACAGCGCCTTACTACGAACCGCCGTGCGCAGTGGTGTGTATGCGTGTGTGTATGTGTGTGTGTGTATGTTGTATGTAGCGGTGCGCGCGCGCGCGTGCGTTGTCGAATCAGTGGAACGTGTACGTGTGTATGTGACAGAACGTCGCAGGAGGATGCGGTGTTGCCGGATGTCGTAAGCGCGAATCGCGTACTATACGGTGCGGCGCGAGGCCGCCGAAGAGAGGAAAAGAGACGCGCGAAGTTTCGACTGAAAGGAAGAGAGAGCGTGCGACGGCGTCGTCGTCGTCGTCGATCGATCGATTTCGACTCGTTCACCGGAGGTGGAGAATCGCGAACTGTTGGAGTTGCTGCCGTACAAACGGCGGCGTCGTCACGTCGCGTACGAACTCTCGCGATCATCGTCGTTGCGCGGTGGTACGCCACAGTGACATTTGCGGTACGGTGCTATCGATGAAACAGACTTGGCAACGTCGCACCGACTGCCCTCGCACACAAACGCGCGCGCATACACGTACCTAGAAGGGAACTTGGGGTGGCTGGCTGGTTGGCTGGCTCGCTGGCTGGCTGGTAGGCAGGCAGGCTAGCGGACGAGCAAACAGGGCAGGCAGGCCAGAGGCTTTCTTGTTCCGAGGACGGTGCTCTTGGTCGCGCCGTCTCTCTTTTCTACCTCCATTGCGCTTACTCTTCCTCACCCCCAACCCCTTGCCTCTTCCCATCCTCGATCAACTCAATCGTGCTCTCGTTCTCTCCTTCCCTCTCTCCTCCCCTCTCTCCTCAAGCTTCTCTCTCTCTCTCTCTCTCTCTCTCGCGTTCATGCCGCACGTACCGTTGAGAGCCTCTCCCTTCCCCTGCCGTACTCTTTCTCTGCCTCTCTATCCCCTCTTCTCTCCTTACCTCGAACGGATCGGGCGAGTCCACTAGGCTTGCGAGGGGTGTTCGGCAGACCTCGTCTCTAGTCGGCCTCGATCCGTAGAGTGCGTCAGACGCCGCGAGTCGATCGCTCCGGTACACGGATATTCGCGAACCGTAGCATACGTGGGTACGTCGTGGGGCCCGCGAATGTCATTGCGCGTTACCTGCGCATAACCGCGGCCCGCGGCAACTCGTATTGCGGCCAGTTTACGCGTTCAGCCTGGGACGCACTCGACCAGCGTATATCCGTACGACGGCCATGTTTGGTGTTTACGACGTGAGGGGGAGTCGCTGACGTCACGTACGAACGAGCGGTCCGATCTTGCCCGAACGGCACGGCGATTACGGACGACGGGTGGCAGCAGCGACAGGCAAACGACGACGACGACGACGACGAGGAGGAGGAAAAACGTGCGTCGCTCCACGCCGGTAGCTCATCGCTGCGGCTGCGCGCTCGCGCTCGTTTACACCAGCGGAACTCACCGTCGTTCGTCGAATAACAAGATCGACGACGGAGAAATAATCCGCGTGTCCTGCGGGTGTACATATTCGACGAAGCTGAAAATCGTACATCGGGGATCACTACTTGCCTCCTTTTTTTCCGATGGGACGCGCGAATTCATCGATCTCGCTCGTCGTGATCGCCGCTCCTACTGGCTTTTCGAAAAACATCGCGCGCTCCGTCTCGCGCTCTGCTTCCTCCGTCACGTCGTTGAAATAGCACTCCGTCTGTAAAACAACTTGGCGCTCGCGCGACCGATCGCTTCGCGGGAAAAGGAGCAGGAATCGGGCGATGCCGAGCGACGTCACGTCGCCCGTACAGATACGGACGCGTCGCGATTGACAACGCATGTCCGACAATGCGCGACGTGGAGTCGCGAACGAACTGATACTCCGATCATCGTGAAGACGACGACTCCGTTCGTAGACACGATCGCGCCACGTGGTAATCGCGCACGTGTCTCTCGGCTGCTGCACGCAGCGCATGCCGGTGTTCGCGCTTCGAAGGTGCGGTCGATCGGAGTGGACGATCGTCGTCTCGCACGACGCGACGCGACGCGACGCACGTGCAATACAGTGATTGCTCTCAATTGACACGCTCTGCGCGCGCGTGCGTTGTGTGTGTGTATATGTATATGTGTGTTGAGTGTGTGTATATATACATGCGCACGTGTCTGTGATCGATCCGCCTGCCGCCGCGCCGGTGTGTGTTGCGCGTCAGTTTACATATGGTGTTTCGCAGGATACCGCACGTGATACGCAACCACAAACCGACCGAGGATTATCCAGAACGTCAGGATTAAAGACCGCTCCGTCGAGCTCATCGTGTCGAGCCATGGAGCTGGGTGACAGAGTTTACGCCGCGGAGCGGATCACGAAAAAGAGGGAAAAGCGGGTTAGTATAGCGCGCGGCCGCCACCAGATGGCGCTACCAGGCGGAATCCGTCCGCGCGCCGTTACCGCCCCCTCTATCTCTCCCTTCTATCTCGCGCCTCTTGTCTCTTTTTTTTTTCTTCTTCGTTCTCTCTTTCGCTGACAGCCGGCTTCGCGCGGCTGCCGCTTCTTCCACGACGCTAAACGCTTTTACGACTCGCGATATCGGACATTACGCGCCGACAGGTACAGACTCTCCCCTGTTACCTGGTACACAATGCCGTTTGCGTTGTATACTTTTATCATATTGCCGAGAGCACGCTTGAAGACCGATTGTCACTGATCGATCCACCGGTTTTGCCATCGTGAGATTTCAATCGTATCGATTCGCTCCCGTTAACGAAACCGCGATTCCGCGCCCCGTTACGTTACGACACGTTGACAGGAGGAATAATAACGGCTTGTCTCTGTCTCGAAACGTTCTCCGTTATTTTAAACGTGAAAGCTGCGAGAAAGAGAGAGGGAGCAAAAAGTAAATAGATCAATTTAATACGAGGAGCATCAATTACGGTCAACGTTAGATATTAGATTAACACATATGTACGTATTTTAAATAATATTTTATCCCAAAAACATGCGTTCCGATTACTTTCAGACTTTCAACATAATCGATTTGAAATACTCTATCAATTCTCCAAATTTAATTTGATATCGATTTGATGCTCCTAACAACTCCGATAATCATTTTTCTTATTTTCATCGTACGTTTAATAATTGAAAGCACAATTGGATACACATGCAGTCTCTAACACTTATTTCCATCAATGGCTGCGTTCAGTATCATAATATAATTGATCTTGTCTTTAGTTTCTTACTGGATCTAAACCAATTATATTAAAGAATCTTACAGCAGTTACAAAGTTGCTTTTTCTCCTGAACGTAGGTTGAACTTTAATCTCGATTCAACTTAAGGCTTGCAGCATACAAAGAGATTAAATCGAGATTAAAATTAATCTATATTGGACACAAATCGATTACGTTTAATAAATAGTCGCTCGCATCCATTAAAGGCAATAGAAACAATCACGTAATCATGAACGATGTAGGAAGGAACTTTCATTTGTTTCACACTTTATTGAAACAATATAATATTCTTGGTGAATACA